TTAATGCTTCATTTACAGAGCTATAATATAGATCGCGCTTTCTCTTTCCGTTTGATCCGTTTTATAAACACCGTACTTTAAACTCATATATGCCTCATTGTTCGTTCATTCTTGAAGTAAACTTGTGTCCGTTTGGTGATTAAATAAACTGTTTTAAACCGCTGCTCGAATTGAACGCGATGCGTCCGGAGTGTGTGTGTGATACCGGTGAGTTCTCCTAGACTCAGCGCGATACTATTTGGCATCGTGCTACTTTTGCTGGTATATGCTCTCTTTTTGAAGGCGTCGACTGTGTATATCATTGAGGCTTCTTCATTTCAGAAAAGTAACCATTACATTCTAAAGTAAGAAAGAAATTACATTAATTTACGACTCACAAGAAATAACAGTCAGTTTCATAACGGTTACTTTTCTGAAATACGACATCCTAGATGATGGCTGACAAATGCAACCTCTAAAGCGTGCAGCCTTTTGAAATGAGACACAGATATAGTGTTGTAGTGAGTCATCATGACTCTTTCTGCAGGTTACATTGCTACATTAGCAGGTTAGGACAAGTGACTGTTTAAAAACGCTGACTCAACCAGCAATTAACTTTAGCTAGCTAACTTTAACTAGCTGTGTCTGAAATCGCATACTGCCTGAGTAGGTACTACATCGAATAAGTACTTACTTCACAACAAGAATGTATGAAGTATGAATGACGTCAGGATATACTACAGTACATCTGCCATGTAGTCATTGTCATGTGACTTATGGAGTCAGTTGCGTCGATTCACTGCTATTCACAAATCCTCTCTTATTACCTCATGGGATAGAATGCGTCCATCAGATAAAAATTTCGGAATCTCACCGGCAGAAGTGGGTCATCCGGAACTGTTCGCTTACAGTTTAGCCCAATAAGCATGAGCATAGAATGCGCAGGGGACGTGTGTCCCCCACTTTTAATTAAACATAAGTTCGTCCCCCGCACTTTTTTAAGCAAGTGTTTTCACGTAGAGGTTTTAAAGGGCCACTGTGAATAAATCTATATTTAAATTCAAAGACGCAAGAAAGTCACATTGTTTTGGATATTTGTATCCAAAATGATGTGAACTTTACGGAGCGCTAAACACTCTCATGCGGTGTATGTATGTTTCATTCATACTCAAAGTCGGAGGGCGCACTCACGCAGAAAGTCCAAAACTGACTCACAGAAGTAATGATAACTAATGACGTGCCAGGAAATCCATAATATGGACAAAGGCATCCAGTGATCACTGTAGCTAAGCTGAATAAAAAGCTGAAACGTTTTGACTGGTGAAACTTGAAGACAATAAATACACAATTGTGACAATATAGGGGTTATGTGTGTTTTTCAAGTTATCTCCAGGTAATAAATAAATAAATAAATAAAGTATATGAATGATGCAGTGCTAATTGACATATCATTTATTACAGTACAGAAACTATAAAATATATTTTCTGCCTTATTCTGTGATAAAAATGGAAAAAAATTGTGTGTAGTATATAAACCAATCATAAAATTGACATTTTGAAAATATAGGCAAAAATATTATAGAATACAAATTATTGGTTATTGTCCAGCAGCACATTTGATTTCTTAGCCAATTAAAAGAGATAAGACATTTTTATTTTTTTATTCATTGTTATTATTACTAATAATATATATTTTTAATTATTTATTTATTTATATATTTTTGGTCAATTACATTAAAAAAAAGTTATTACATTTGTCACTTGTGTCCCCCTCACTTCAGAAATGATGGCTACACCCCTGTATAGTAGGGAAGTAGGCATATTCAGATGTAGGGACTGTCTTCATGAATATTTAATTCATTTACTCACTCAACAGATTTGTTCAAAAATAATTCAGGAACGAAACACCATGAGTTGTTCGGAGATGCATAACGGTTGGTTGTGCTTGACTTCTTTTGGAAGTATTTTCATTGAAGCATAAACAGACAAATAACTGGCAATATTAAACACACTTAATATTAACTTCTTGTCTACTGAACTGCTATATAAGAGCAATATCATACAATCCTGCTGCCTCCGCATTATTTCAATAACTTCTCATAAACGGCCCAATTTTTCGCTAGTTCAAACAAATTCAAATTCATAACGATAGGCCTCCTAATGAGTAGTTATATATCCTATTTAATTTCATGAGGAACTTTGTGACTGTTAAAAAATGTTTTTTTTATAGCATGCATGTGTATAGTTACATCGCTTCACTGTTATTTAGAACTCTTTCAGTGGAATTAGTAGGTCATATGGGTACTTTTCAATTACTGTTTTATGAATTTGGACATACTGCTCATTTTGCATACTGCTCTACACCTACTATACAGTAAGAAGTAGGCACATTCATATGCAGTTCAACACTGAACTAATTTCAACTGAATAATTACTATTTACTATTGTGTTTTTAGAGCTGCTTTACAGCAGAATTGAATTTCGATTGCATTACTGAATCACTATTTTCTTGTTTGTCACTGTAAAGCTGCTTTGACTTGGCTTGCCGTGTTGGACTGGTGTATTGATCTGACCTATGAGCATCCAGTACTGTGCTGCACCAAATTCTGTGCCAAAGATACCATCTGTGATTAAGATACCATCACAACCATAGTCTAAATGTCCCCCTTAACAAGTAATCCAAATCCTACTCTTGTCACATACAAAGGACGTGCATTTTTTTTAATGCAGTGTATGTGCAACCATATGTAGATGGTGACTGCATCCAGACAGTCAACCCCTCACACATCACAGTGATCTGTCAACTCTGTTCTTTATCTCACCTGCCCACATAACAAGCTGCCTGGCTTGATCGATACAATAGCAGATGTGCGGGACTTGGCTCTCCCTGCAGGACACTTGCATGGAGGCATGAAGTGTGAATCTTTCTTTATGCTATTACACAGATCACATTAGTATGCTGGGAAGAGACACACGGCTCCAGTTCTAGTGCACCGTACCACCTAGAGTTTGGCATTTAGTACGATCTGTTGTGGAACAGGGTGGTGAAATCACTGTATTGAAAGTATTCAAAAGACAGAGTGGAAAGCTTGAAAAATACTTCTGAGGAATGCTGAAAGTGATGTAGCATAAAAAAGTGACCTTTCAAAGTTTAACAGTTTTGTATTCTTCTGGTGGAAGGGAACTCAAGTGGAATACTAATTTACTGTCACTTCTGAACGCGTGTATTTACTA